TGTGGTGTTCTGCAATAAGTGGCTAATTTCAGGCCCCAGATGTCATTTGTACCACACAAAGAAAGCGGTCAGGGTTTGGATGAAAAAAGACAGAACTTAAATTGCATTAGGATGTGTGTTAAGGAAAATATTGTGATGAGAATGTGGACTAATATGTATCCACATGAGGAATGTGACCGGTACACACAATATTTTTATTCATTGCACAAGTTTCAGCATAATGAGACAGCTCATCAAGACTTCCCATGCATCACTGAGAATCTCCGGCTTTCAATGAAGACCCATGTCTCATTTCCCCTGCTTTGTTGGTGTCATTGTTTGCCCATTTTTCTTTTCTTAAGCTGCCAAATTTGCACAGCTTAATGGCTTTCTGGCAAATTCTCCACAGGAAATATGCCATTCTGCACAGGAATGGTAACAGTTCTGTGCCACTTGCTGTTTCTCGTACTCTTTCCATATGAATCCCATGTAGGACAGTGACATCTGTCCTACATGGGATTCTCAATGTAGAAATTTTGTAATAATTTTATGCAACTGGGCAAAAGGACTATAAACCTTCTGAGAAACCCCACAAAATTTCTTGGGGAGGGACCTCTCACAGAGAAATCTCACTGCCAGGAGGAAAAAAGGATTCCTCCTACTCCTTAGTTGCTCTCTGCAAACAAGAGGCTGGGAGAGTCACATCCCCAACCCACACTCCACCTTCCCTTACATAAGGTTCTGCTCTACCTCCCATGAGAAAATCCTTCATATCCAACACTCTCTTTGTCACCAAGGTGATTTTTGGAAGACCTCCGGGACTAACTGCAGGAACCCAGTTTTTGTGAATTCAGCTACGTACTCTGATACACAGCAGCAGAGTGCCTACCTCTATGTTTATTATTTTTCTTTATTAAAATAGATGTGTCATCAAGTCAATTCTGATTGATGGCAACCCTTTTTCAGAATTTTTCAGGTAGAGAATACTCAGAGTGGTCTGCCATTCCCTTCTTTGTCCTGGGACTGGGCAGCCTGCCCAAGGCCACACAGGCTGGCTGTACTCACAGGAGGCACAGGGAGGAATTGCGCTCCCAACATCTGGCCCCATAGCCAGACACCTAAACCACTGAGCTCTCCAGCCCTCTAATTCAGTTTATATCCGAGAAACACAGGGTGTGATTCAAATATTAAAACAACCAATTGACTAATTTTAAACAGTTTAAACAAGACAATCTTAAGCAGTTTAAGATCCATCAGCTCTAGCCAGCATTGACAGGCACAAAGAATGAGTGGAGTTACAGTCCAGGAACATCTGCCCACTCTGAGTTAAACCATTTAAATAAACCATTCAAAGTTATTTAAAGCAGTACAGACATATGCAGAAATGCATATCATCATCATCATCATCATCATCATCATCATCATCATCATCATCATCATCATCATCATCATCATCATCACTATTATTATTATTATTATTATTATTATTATTATTATACAGTATAGTCGATCAGCACTGTGCCCACTTACACCCAGACAGCACTTTGAAAGCTCATCTAGCATCCAACTGGTACAAGATGTTGCCCATCAGCTAAACTATCATTGAAAGATTGTACCTGTGACAACAGAGGCAGGAACTACACATTTGCAGATAACTGTAGGTTTTATTATTGCTATACAATGTTGCTGCATGGTTGCATTGTATTTTGGATTATTTAAATGAACTAATTGGATTGTGATGGTAGATACTTGTTGTAACCACAATTGGTGAACATGATGTTCCTCCAGGTATTTCTGTACATTCGCTCCCACCTCCTTTACCATTGGCTCTTCTGGTCAGAGCTGGTGCGAAATGCAGTAGGACAATCTCTAGAGGACTATATGTTTCCCACCTCTGCTCTACGACAACTGTTCTGTTAGTAGCAGTAACTGTGTGTTGACTGGTGAAAATATTTCTGAATTAAGATCATATGGCGGAAGTAACAGCGTTTTTCTTGTTGTAGCCCTTGGAATTCCTCATGGTCCTCTTTATACCACACCATTACAGATTATGCCTTGGAGGCAAAACTGTATTTATCAGATATAAATGTAGAAACAGCAGAGACAGTACATGACTCTCCATTCATATTTGTCTGTAAAGAGTCCTTTGTGGGCCACTAAACAGCCTTGCACATTTATTGCATAGTTTTCTTGGTTAGACTCCTATAGCGTTACATTTATAGCTGTCATTTTACCATTTAACTGTGCACATGTTGTATCTTTGGCCACATGAAATCTGTAACACCACACCATCAAAAATAACGAATCTCTAGCTAATTAACTGAATTTAGTGATGATAGTGAAATAGTATTTGCTGTTCCCTTGCAACTTTGAGGCTCAAAGCTAGGACTTGAAATTTGAAGTCCTCATCTACAAATGAATAACATGTTGTCAAGGAATCAGGACCATAAATTTGCTAGGATGTTCAGTACCACTAGTTTACTGGTAGTAGGGAGAAAATAAAATATCCACTTCATGTTGCAGAGTTTTGAATTTTAGAATCTCTATGCTGCACAGCAGAAAAGCAGAATTAGTTTCAAGTTCCCCAGAGTAGTCCAACTTTTTTTCTCATCAACTGGCACTTACTGTCTCAATAACTCACTCTGAAGCATTAATTGGGGAAAGAATAAAAAGTTTCATTACACACGGTTGAGTAGATAAGAGCAAACTAACAAGCATGGCTGCAGCAACACGCCTCAACAGACTCACTTTTTCGACAAACTGACTGACTCCAGATAAAGGAGAGAGGTAAAGCATTTAGTAGAGAGGCATGACTACCTTCGAATTCAGAGGCAAGGAAGGAACTATTGGTTAATGCAGTTAATGACTGGCAGTCACCCAGCCCAGAAATGTCCCTCCCAGCCACACGTGCTAGGGGCAGCATGCAAGGCTGGAAAATTTCAACATTAATATCTTTCATCTTAAAGCTCCTAGTTTGATTATTTTTCTTCTTTTTGGCACTTGTTTTCAGAGTGCAATCCCCTGCAAAGTTTGAGGATCTTGTTGAATTCACTGGGGCTTCTTCTGAGTTAAAAGAGGCTTAAGATGAGGCTGCAAAACTGTTGACCAAAAACATGAAGTAATTTATGCACTCAGAGATTCTTTTGAGATATTTTACATGGGGCAGGCATAGGCAAAATCCACCCCACCCCCAAAAAGAAGCATATTGTCTTCGACTAAGTTTGTCAGGAGTTGTATGCTAACAGTTGGCAGGGCTAGACATCCCCTTCACAATGTCTCTATCACTGCGCTTCTAAAATGTCTCTTTCTCCCATATGTTCATCTCTTCACTCAAAAGAGAGAAACCCTACACTCACACGCTCACCTTCAGTTCGCCACAATTGCCATTCATGAGCAAACATCACATATCAGACATAAAAAAGTGTCTTATGTCACCTTAAAAGAATGATGGTTAAACCCCTATTGCTGGTTTGACACAAATGGTGTTAGGCCTTGCTGACAAATAGCTGCAAATTACAGTGTTGATGTAGATATTTGATTCGCACTGGTTTGTGCAAGTTAGCACCAGCCATGTAATATCTACACGGTAACTTGCAGTCATTTGTTGCCACTGCTCTGGCCAAGGAACAAGGATGGCCCATCCAGCCATGTAATATCTACACTAACTCGGTAACTTGCAGTCATTTGTTGCTCCTGCTCTGGCCAAGGAACAAGGATGGCCCAGCATATTTTGCTGCCTGAGGCAGAGCAACAAACAATGGTACTGCTTCCCTCCAATTCAAGGTACCGAGTACCCAAAGCAACCACAATATTTTGGTATCTGAGGCAGAAAATTTCTCAAACCACTTTTCCTCTGTTTCATAATTTAAAGAAAAATAGAAAAATGTGATTAAATTAAACCATGAACAATTTTCTGTCCATTCATGCCACTCCGAATCTGCAGTCTGAGGCATAGCAGTGGTACTGCTTCCCTCCAATTCAAGGTACCGAGTACCCAAAGCAACCACAATATTTTGGTATCTGAGGCAGAAAATTTCTCAAACCACTTTTCCTCTGTTTCATAATTTAAAGAAAAATAGAAAAATGTGATTAAATTAAACCATGAACAATTTTCTGTCCATTCATGCCACTCCGAATCTGCAGTCTGAGGCATATGCCTCACTCTTTCTTACAGCAAGGCTAGGCTCAATGTGGAAGAAGACCCTGGTGGAGCTGCTATAACTGCCATAGACTGCATGACGTGGAACCACAGATTCCCCGTTTCAGATTTAGCTCACAGAATTTGTTAGTCAGAAACAGCTTTACTTTTTGGCATTGTGAATTGTAACTCTCAGGTAAAAATAGACACCCTCCACAAAAGGCTAACTCAGCTCCATCTGTAGAATCTACAGCTTGGTGTTTCTGTTTTAAAATGCATTATTTGGCTTTGTTCCATTATAATTCCTTTATGTTTTTATTGTTGGAGAGAACATATTTTGTCTTGTGTTGAAGTTTAATGTCATGTTCAACATATAAAATATTTCCTGATATACATATTTTCCTGCTTTCCTGTGGAGGAAATACACCTCTCAAGGGGAGTTTTTACTTCTTTTGAGATTTTAAAAAATGTGCACAAACACAAGTATAGTATATTTAGAATTAAGGAAGGAATTGATTCAAATCCCATTATTTATGGGGTTAGCAAACAAATGGCACTTAAATTATATAGAATAATGGTGTGTAATAATGGATGAAATTATTCCTTCCTTCTTAAAATGTCTTGCATTGTATTTATGTGCCACATTGTTCATGTCAATTGCTGCTCTGAATTATCTGTGATTTGTGCAGTATTTTGTGATTCTTAAAATGTGGAAACAAATCCATGGTGTCCAGGCTCCCAACAGCTGATATATTATCCCTAAACATAGTGCCTAGCATGCAAAGTCAAATGTGAGCAATTCTGTTAAGCTGCTTCATTGTCTGACTAACAAAAGACATAGCAACCAATTATGGTGTGTATTTTTCTGCTTTCCTACTTCCAGCAATTACTTGTCGAAAACAAGATGGCGGACAAGCTGACATTGGTGAATGCCTTAAGCATGCAGGCTCATTACCACCCTTAACACAACCCTGCCAGATCCCTTGCCAAGACGACTGTCAATTAACCAACTGGTCAAAGTTCTCTTCTTGCAATGGGGATTGTGGAGCAGTAAGATCAAGAAAGCGCATTCTGATTGGTAAGAACTGGAAAATGCCAAGAGAAAGAGCGGTATTAGCATTGCAACTGTGGTTGTTAATGGTTATCAGTGATGACATTACTCTAGAGACAGACTATCATAAACATCATAAATGACATTGATTCAGAGAGTCTACTCTGACTAGATCTGGATTTGCCTCACATAAGTTGGTAAAATCCCTATGGTGACTGACAGGGAAATATTAAATACATTTACTCAAAAGTAAGTCTTACCAGGTTGTCTGAGACCCAGTAATAGGTAAATATGTATAGGACTGAGCTCTCAGATGGGGAAACTATTGCTACACACGTTGAATAAAGTTTTCAGCCAGAAATCTCTAGATACAAATGGGTCAGAAAAACTTGTTTTGTCTTTTGAACTGCTTGTATCACCCATGTTTGTGGATTTTGGTAAATGGCCCATATGGAAGGGTAGACATTTACACTCTGGAAGAATTATAAACCTGTACTGCTCCAGGTGCTCCATATATTCCAGGTAATCAAAGATATAATAAATGATATATAATATCCTGAGAACCTCTTCTTAGTCCACCTGGTTGGAAATGTATATTATCAGGATTCGCATTTAACCTCTGCTTCATCATTTCTCAGCCCAAATGGTTATACCATTGGGGGGGGGCATCCTTTTAATGTCAAAGTCACTCTCTGGAAATACTCTAGTGACCTAGGAGGAGTTAAGGTCTTACATGGGCATTTATTTGCTGTGCATTTGTTATGACCAGCCTTAGAGAGAATTTATGTCCCATCTGCTGTGTATATTTAGATGATAGCTACAAACGATGCTTGCATTCTGGTAGGCACTCATTACAGAAGGGTTGGATATGCATGACAGTGGATGGCAAAGCTATTTTTCATGGCAGTCATGATATTTTACTGTACATATTTGTATGGAACTTCATAACTTTTGTTGTTTAGTCATTAAGTCATGTCTGACTCTTCATGATCCCATGAACCAGAGCACGCCAGGCCCTCCTGTCTTCCACTGCGTCCCGGAGTTGGGTCAAATTCATGTTGGTAGCTTCAATGACCCTGTCCAGCCATCTCCTCCTCTGTCGTCCCCTTCTCCTCTTGCCTTCACACTTTCCTAACATTAGGGTCTTTTCCAGGGAGTCATGAGATGGCCAAAGTATTAGAGCCTCAGCTTCAGAATCTGTCCTTCCAGTGAGCACTCAGGGTTGATTTCATTCAGAATGGATACGTTTGAACTCCTTACAGTCCAGGGGACTCTCAACTTCATAACTACTGTACTACAATCAATGAATGAGAGATTTTATGTATTTTGATAGGCTGAAAACTTTAGAAATATGGGCCAGAATCCTACTGGTTATGAATGCCAACATAAGTGTGGTGAGCCTCCCCATGGGCCAAGTGCCAACCAAGGTGATTGTTACACAATGAGGGATACAAGCAGTGACTTCTTGATTAGTGGCAATTTGCTGCAGCAGTTTACCCCATTGCACTTATGCCAGCATAACTAACCACTAGGATTGTGCCAGTGATTACATACCTTGATCTACGATCCTGGGAACTGCTTGGCTGCTTCCATCTGAAATAAGTCAATATGATTTTTGCAGCCTGTGTGCAAAACCTTTGAAGAAGGACTTGGCTTTCAACCAGTATGTAGTCCTCCTTTTTTTGTTTTTGTTACCGGATGGATTTGTTTCAGTAGGATAGACACGTTAACAATTTCATAATTGGACACAGGATCTATATGCATATTCATAGTCTTGGGAGTAGACCGACAGCTTAAAGTAATTTCTATCCAGGAAAAGGCAGACGTAAACTAAATTAAAGGGCTAAATGTGAAATATGAAATACTTGCCTAATGCAGAATTCTGTACAGCTCAAAACTTCACTTTTTCTGACCCAAATTGAAGCTGGTCCAAGAAAAGCTGTGTATCATTTCCCTTGGACCTCTTCCTTTCTGGGCACAGTAATAAATCATGAGTATTTGGGAGAGCCACTAGTCTACCCAAAACAAAGAGTTACCCAGGCTATGCTGACCATCGCTGTCCAATACTGGTAAACGTTTTAATGACCTGCTGTCTTTCTGAGATGCATCTTATAACATCTCATAAAAATTGTATATTTCCAAACAAAGGAAAATGTTGCAGCATCCATTTATGCTACTATGGGAAAGGCAACAGGGTAGATAACGATTTCAAATTTAGATTTATTTAGGTGATAATGTTTTCAAATAATGAGACTTTTTAAAGAGTTTGTTTTGCTTTTTTGGGGGGGAGTTGGCCAAACCTATTTAAATGAGGAACACAAGATAGGGAACAATAGACTCTGACGGCAGCTGTATATTTTGTTGCTAGTATGGGAGCCTCAATGATTTTATGTGAGACATAAAATACAGGCAAAAGGGCACACAGTTGCAGACAGGAAAAAAGGAAATTTATTTTATTTGTTTATTAAATTTATACCCCGCCCCTCTAGACCATGTCTACTCGAAATTGAATACCCCAGTGGTTACAACAGGAAGAAATATACCTGTGCCAGTTCAATGTAAGTGTAGGTGAACAGTCCATTCCTGGGAATTTTCCAAGGAATAGAGAGGCTTTGGATTTCATGGATACAAGATCATTCTACCCCATCAAGCTGCTAGAACACTCTGTTTCAGGACGTCTCAACATCACTTGATGGTACAGGTACTCTTGCAGAGTGCTCTGTAGGTCTACCAGGGCCTCCGCATTTGTAGAGTTCCTCTGTACTTTATGTGCCCACACATAAGAATAGGGCTTGAAATGCTTGTTTGGCACCTAACGTTATGATTGTGATCCACAGCTGGTACAAAATTATCAGCGGGAAACTTGGATTTATAGAACTTGGAGACAGGCACCCATCAGTCAGGGCGAGTGCTGATGTCTCATAGGCTTGAAAGTCCAGATTCTAAAAGCCATTGCCCCCCCAGCCCCGGAATAAATACGCGAGACAACAGCTTGGATTTAAACGGGCCACACTTTATTTAATTGATTTAACCAAATTCAAATTCTTAAAACTGTTGGGGGGCCTGCTGTAGTGCGGAAACAGGAAACAGGGGTATCAAAATACCCCATAAGATCGCCATTGGGCGAGCCCCCGGCCCCCATGCTCCCGCTGTCTTACTGACAGCAAGAACCTGGCTGGCCGCTAACAAACACCCCTAGACCTCGAGCCATCCTTAATTGATGACTGTTGATCCAGGAGCGGCCCAACTCTCATAGGCTTGAAAGTCCAGATTCTAAAAGCCAATTGTGTGCCTAGTCTTCTCTTCTCTTTAGGGTGAGAACTTCTGGTACCAAGCACAAAGGAGTGAATCGGCTTTGTCATTTGAGTTAGGGCAACAGCAACCACTGTCAGCATATTGCTGGACATAGGAACAAAAGCAGTTGGGCAGATACAGTATCATGCATGAAGCTTGAGAGTGGCCGCATATTCTCTAAGGCAGCTTACTGTTGCGTTAGGACAATGCATAATTAACAACATTGGGTTTTATTTTGTTTGAGGTGAATGGGCTTTGGCCAGACTGTTTTTGTTTAATTTGCTTAGAAGTTGTAAAAATTACTATTCTAGCTGGGAGTGGTGGTTTGTGAAGGTTCCTTGTCTTTGAGAGGGATATGCAGACTTCTGGAAAAGATTGGGCTTTGCCCATTAAATTTAACACCTGGTCTATTGCATCCATGTTTGAAAGCTCGGTGCTTCTGTGAATACGTTCTTGAATTGTTTCGGCTGGGTCTGTATAGAAATTTGATGAAATATATTTTCTGCCCTCAGGTCAGATGACAAAAAAACTCCACCCACTATCTGAACCTCTTTCTATTCACTTCCAGGGAAAAGTAAGAAGAGGGAGAAATGCAAAAACCCACAGCTGTATCCGCTGATAGAGACCCAGTTCTGTCCATGTGACAAGTATAACGCCCAGCCTGTGGGGAATTGGTCCGACTGTATTTTACCTGAGGGCAAAGTGGACATTTTGCTTGGAATGAAAGTGCAAGGAGACATCAAGGAATGCGGCCAAGGCTACCGCTACCAAGCCATGGCTTGCTACGACCAGAACAGTCGGCTCGTTGAAACATCACGATGCAACAGTCATGGTATTTACATTTCCCCCCTTTTTTTTACTTAATGGGAATCATTAATTTTTGTGTGTTGTGGAGCTGTATGAAAAGAATTGGGAGGGAGTCCCTGCTAGGATCTGTGCTCTGAAAAATATTCTGCTGCCTCAAAAAGGAAGCTCAAAGCCAATGCATTTTTAAGAAATTCTCACTCAAACCCAGGGCAGCACCGTATCTTTCTAAACATTGTTTGTACAGATAGTAGGCTTCTGTATATGTATGTGTGCCTAAACATACACATATATATTTCAGGATCATGATTTAGTTGTAATTGGGATCAACCAAATTGGTTAGCTGTAACTGCAGAGTCTAGTAAAAATAGTACAGTAGTAATACTAATAGTAGTAGTACTCAGACTTGCTTCTTCCCTTAGGCAAAGTGAGGTGCTTGTCACGGCTGGTAGATGCTGGTGGGCAATAGGGGTGTGTTGGACGACAGAGCTGTGTGCTGTGGTGCCTTAGCCTTTAAGCTAGCCCATTGCTGTCTGTTCTGGTGGAGGATCTCCCATCACCAGTGCTTAAGAGAAGTTCAACTGCAAATCCAACTGGTTTATGCTCATGGAATGAGAGCAGGTGTTATGTTGTTATTGACTCAGGGAGCAAACTATCTTGGACTTGCCCTGATGGCAGTAGAATAAAAGAAGAGGATGAGAACATGAAAAAATAGTTATTTAAGGATGGTTTAAGAATGTATTTGTTTAAGAATACATGTGTGATGCTTTTTTATTTGGCAGAAGGAGCATGGCTCATCTCAGGATCAGAAGTATGTGAGATCCTAGTCAAAATCCTGTTGGGTGGGTTCTGCTTCAGCAACAGAAATGACTTCATTGCTAATTAAAATGCCCTTTCTAAATTGCAGGACATGTACAACTTCGTCAAATTGCTTGTGAACTGTATACACCCTGACACTGAAAAGGGAAGGCAATTTGCTGGTGATGTTGATGTCATTCTTATTGCACAGGTAGAGCTGTGCAACAGGCTTTTGGCCATTATTATGTATTTTGCTGATGAACAACAGCATGGAGGGTGATGGATACTATGTGCAAAAAATGTTATGAGTACCATATTATGGCAGATGCATGGTGTTTGTTAGCTGAAAGCAGACAGGGCCCCAGTGTCATCTTTTCTCCCCTCTCAAGCTCCTTACATTGAAAAAGATCAAGTGATACCATGTTGTGGCAGATCTTCCTGTTCCATTTCATACTCCCTGACAATTAGAAATGACGAAACTTGCAGCATGATACTTTCAGATTTGAAACCCATTCTCTAGATGCCACATCTGAACATGAGATGCGTTCACAGCTTGCCTGTATTTGATATTTTAATATCCCAATTGAGGTATTCATAATAATAAATGGATGCTATCAAATCAATCCTGATTTATAGTGATCCTTTCCAGGATTTTCTGGATAGAGAATTTACAGAAGTAGTTTGTCATTCCCTTCTGGTACTGTGCCCAAGGGCACCAAGGCTGGCTTATCTCACAGGAGGCACAGAGGGGAACTCCCAACCTTTGGCTTCACAGCCAGATAACTAAACCACTAAGCTCTCCAGCCAACAACTAAATAAATAAAGGTGCTCTTTTTTCCTCAGATAAGTAAAAAGAGCACTTTGGTTTTTCCATTTTTAATGGATTACGTCACTGGGTGTCTTGGTGGTCTTATTTGCAACTTTTATTGAGAGGGAACCATTTTTTTAAAATCTCCAGTAAATCTTGCAAACAAAACTCAGGAAGGGAAGAAACAAGTACAAAGCCCTATCTACTGATACTTCTGCCCTGTGAGCAAAGCCCTGGTAGAGATACCGTAGATGGGACAGCACATCTGAGCCTAGAACCTCCAATCCTCTTTGCCTCTAGGACTGAACCCCAACTAAGGCTTCTGGCTTTCATATTTTGCCCTGTTAGGAGATATTGGGTCTCCATTTTAAAACAGTTATGGCTTCTATGCATAACAGGTTAACTGTGTTTCTTACCCAATAAGAGTTGTTGCCATGAGACTCCGAACCATTTCCACACATTTCTGTGATCATTCTTGTAATATTTTAATTAGAGCTATAAGGCCTAAACAGATTTCGGGTATGAAGGAATTTGTCTGCAACTTATAAAAAGTTGAGCAACCTTAGTCCAGAGGGAACAATATGAGACCTTGAGTCCAACAGACCAAAAGAGGCCCAATGCCAATCACTCGGGTTTTGAAGGCTTGTTCTTTGTGTGAACAGCCAAGAAATTGATGGGAAACCAGGATTGTCTATTCCATGTCATCAAGAGTAGACAGCACGGGCAATGGCCTGATGGAATTACTGTGTTTTGTAATGTCACAAGAAACATCTTATTATATCAGAGTGTGTCCACGTTGTTTGTCAGAAGAGCAGAATGCAAGATAGGAGAACTTAATCTCTGTAATTTATGGTTTGTTACTCAGGCTCTGAAGTGAAGAAGTCATAATTCTGAGTTGCAAATGACTGAGTATGACATGGTGTTATGGACTTGTCACTGCCCTTGCTCTGACGTTATCTCTTATGCTAAGAAATGTGGCTCCAACATGTGACAGAACTGGCCCTGTGCATCTTTGGGAGGCACAGTTGTCTTTGTCAAGAAGTAGGATGTGGGAGACGAGTATTAATGTGGCAGGATAATGGTTTTTACATTTATTTTATCATAGACCAACCTTCCAGATGTTTTGACCTACAGTGTAAGTCATACTCGCAGTCATTGACCATGAATGTCAAATATACAGTTCGATATATCTGGAAAGTACTGTGTTGAGGAAAGTTACCACAGGTTATTATGGTGCCCAATAGCATGGGATTTTTTTTTAAAAAAAGTACAGTAATTAGTTACAGTTCTCAGCCCTCAGCTAGTTGTTAGTTACCATTAGAGATTTTACCTTTGTTGTACCCCAAATAGCTAAAAATTTAACAATCAGATATTGAAAACTTAGTATGTGGAAAAGTTAGCCTAAGCAGTGATGCTAACTTTTGTTCATTTTGTACAAGGGCAATGGTAAACCGCTTCTGAATATATCTTTTCTTAAAACCCTATGACGAGACTTTCAAACCTAGGTAGTTTTGTTTCATTATTGAGAATTCAATTTGTAAAGCAATCAAGTGTGGTCATGTATTAAAAACAACAACAACAACAGTTGATAGCTGTATGTAGGTAATCCTGAGATTCAGGACATACTTTGTTTCTATTAAAGTGATCTGTTTTCAGGTCATATTACCTAAGGATGCAATCAGAGGGGGTTTTGTGGAGTGGGATGGTACAAAGTAAATAAAGTAGCTTGGGATTTGGTGCAGATGCAATAAATGTCAAGATAACCTTTTGTTTATATCTAATAGTGTTTGGGCATGCAATTGACCACAAAATATTTAGAGTACTTTCTGTATAATACTTGGTAATTAAAATATCCCAATTTGTTGAAAATATAGGCCATTTATTTTGCTCAGTGCACATTTTCAACTTCGGTAGTCATTGAGACTGTCAAGAATGACTGGTTTAATATAATAATTGGTTTGAGATACCACCAGAGCCATTTCCCAAAAGCAAATGATGGCAGAACCTCTTTTATCACTGCAATTCATGGCCATGTTGTATAACAGGGCCGTTGAGGATTATGACCATCTTCTCTTGTGACTTCTGTTGGTCGGCACTCTGATGCAACAGAGATTGAACATTTTTATATAGGTCATAATGCACTCCTTATTTCATGTTGGTTTATTTTTTTAAGACCTCAGGCACAGCCAACCAGTCCAGGATCACTTGTCTGCTGCCTTGTTAGTGTGAGATTATTTTCCCCTTTAGCATTAATTAAATGAGATACATTGATTTGTGCTGACTCTACAAAGCTCTGTGTGGTTATAAGGCTTAGGCAGGGAGATTAGTGGGGAATGTCTGCACATTGGTGAGCATTTTCAGCACAGCTGTTGAGAAGATCCACATGAAGTACTGAATTTCTTATTTAATTGCTGGTGTGCCTGATAATAAATTCTCAAATACTGTAAAGGAGTCTATGTGGTTGGAGTCATCACTTTATTGTTTGTTGTATATACTTTTATCCTTTTAAAAAGTCTTTTTATGTACTCTACCCTGTATGTAGAAGGCTTTTTATATACTCTACCCCATAGCTACGTGATGGGAAAGCAAAGTAGAATGGAAATTCAGAATAGCTTTTTGGTTCCATTTTCATATTACTGCCGTTGATGTATTTAACTTCTCTCCTTCATTTTGTTTATCATTTACTGCTACGAGTATTTAACAGACTATTAATAAAGACTAGCCTGACAACAATGTGCTTACATATTAAGATTCTCAGCATTATTATCTTTAAACAATTAGATAATTATTGTTAATAATTAACATTGCTTGACCCACTATTGTGAAACCATTCTGTGTCTTCGTGACCCACAAAGCTATTCAATGACCCATTTTACTGAAATCAATTTAACTACATCCTGAGAAATGGCACTATTTATATGAGACATCACATTTAGCATCCTGTTTTAAACGACATGTCCCCAGAAGGAGCCGGAATCTGCCACAGCTGTAGCTGCTACTGCAGTTTTAAAAGAAAATAACTAAAATCGTTAAGTTTATTATTGTTTGCATTAAAATCTGTATTGGACCTTCTTAAAGAGTTCAGCGGTGTGAGGCCAGTGAGGAACCGAAAGCTGGTGAGTGGAGGAGAGGGATCATGTTGCGAGACCATGTTGGACATCATCACTCCTTTCACATTTACACTAATTGCTATGATCCTGCCCATATTCCTTGGCAAGCAACTAAAAGTCACATGTTGCCTAATAGTTAATTTTGGGGTAAGGTACCTAGATTTACTTTCTTGTTTTTACTTTTTATCAAAGTAATAGCATTTCCAGAAAAATGTTTGTAAGATCTAGTTGATAGAGTCAATTATATTGTGTCATCTTTTATAGTGAAGGAGGCATTCCAGCAGTGTGCTTGGTAATGTTGATAAGAGCTTT